TCGGCTCACGCCGATAGGCTACATGGTTTACATGCATACTTAAATCATACCAACCCAACATTAAAGTAAACACATACGGCATAGAAAATTTTATAAGTAAACCCACCTGGTTACCGAAACGATAGATACAAAAACACCAATAGGCAGCGAGCTCAGCTCGTCAAACACCTACATATATTAAAATAGTCCTATAAATGACTATTCAACACATGACCAACCAATCATAACAATCACTTTATCCAACTAAGCTCACATAAGCATTTAATCAAAGAAATCCCATTTCCGAAAACACCACTTACGTTTTTCAAAACTTGACCCGTGCAGCGTTTTTGAAATCAACATAACTTTTTGTACAAAACTCAGATGAAAATGATTCAAGTTGCACTAGAATCATAAGACATGCATCTACAATTTCTATGAAAAAAATGAAAGTAAATAAGGTATTAAGGTAGTGCAAAAATAGCTAACATTCAAACATCAAATTCTGTCAAAGTATAAAATCCTACTTCATGCATATCTACATTAAAATTATCAAAACTCGAGCTACATATATCATCTCAGAGTGAATCTTATCTCATTAGAAAGCTAATTAATAGACCTATAACATTCATGAAGATCAGAAACTCATTTGAGCACATTTAAGTACCATAAAAAGGTCAAACATTTATTAATACATGCTGCCAGATTTTCGAAAACTGCTTGCACACTCGTTTTATAAAAATCATAACTCATTCGATATAACTCGAATTATCAAAATTCAAAAACCCCGAGAAAGCCAACAGAAAATACTACATTTCATCAGAAGGCCTTAACAACAAATTACGGGTTTCTAATGGTCATAATTACAGCACAACAGAGCATTAAATTATGCATGTACCAATCAAAAAAATCAAACTTCAAACAAGGATTCGGTAATACGAACGATACTTATATATAACATGTGATATACGAGAACAACCGCAATAACGAGAGGGTTCAGAAATGTTTACTGTCTTTGGGAAAATACGAACTCAGTTAAAGTAATCGAACGAAATGACGGGAGTTCGGCATCGGCATTTTAAATCATTTTCCTACTATTCTCCACGGGAATTCAAACGAACAACAATTCGGCTTACGCGATTGAACCGAAAATTCAAACGACGATTGATAAAATAAAATCGAACGAGATATATAATCACAGTATCCATATAATAATATAAAATATAATCTCAAAATTAAGATTCGATAAATAGAATAATCTGAAAAATTCTATAAATCGAACGGGACATTACATTAGCCACAAAAATGGGATTCATTACCCTAACGGTGGGGGTACGTGCCACGCTACGGACACGGCCTTTCATTAGGTCTTAAGGGACTTACCTCGCAAGGGTAACCGTATTACATTGACGGGAACAACCGTACCGACGGCCGAATCGGCTCACGCCGATAGGCTACATGGTTTACATGCATACTTAGATCATACCAACCCAACATTAATTATAATACATATGGCATAGCAAATTTTATAAGTAAACCCACCTGAACGATAACAAGCGAAAGCACAACAATAACGGGTAGGCGGCGAGCTCGGCTCGTCAAGCACCTACATTTATTAAAATAGTCCTATAAATGACTATGCAACACATGAAAAACTAATCATAACAATCACTTAGTCCAACTAAGCTCACATAATCATTTAATCAAGGAAATCCCATTTCTAAAAATACTATGTACATTTTTTAAAAAAACTTTAACCGGGCAGCGTTTTTGAAATCAACATAACTTTCAGTACAAAACTCGGATGAATATGATTCATGTTGCACTAAAATTCTAACACATGTATCTACAATTCTTATGAAGACACAGAAAGCAAATAAGGTCGTGTACTAGGAAATAAATCATCAAACATTCAAAACTGAGTAGCAGTCAAAAATCGAGAACTTGTAACCGACCAGACTTCAGTATTTAATAGATAACTGGAGCTAGAGACATGTTTTTAATGATAGCTAACTCAAATTTCTACAGCTTTGCAGAAGACCATATTGGCAAATAATCACTTTATAAATGAGTTTGGATACAAAACATTCGATTCATAAAGTCTGTCCGAGACTAAAGTATGATATAAACAGTACCTCAGTATTTATCTTCTTAATCATGTTACCGACCTCTAAATTTCATAGTTATAGTATGCTTAGAAAGCTAAGAGATAGCCATACAACTTTCATTTAGAACACAAAAGCAGATAAGGTCTTTAAGATGGCGTAAAATCTACCAACATTTAACATCAGTTTTCTGCCAAAGAGTAAAACCCTACTTCATGTATATCTACAATCATATGAACACAACTCGAGCTATAGATATCAACTCAGCATGACTCCAATCTCATTAAAAAGCTAATCAACAGAACTATAACTTTTATGAAGACTACAAATTCACTAGAACACATTATGACACCATAAACAGGCCAAACATTATATAGACTCATGCTGCCGGTTCCAGAAAGAACTGCTTGTATGATAAATTTGTAAAAATCATAACTCAATCAATATTAATCGGATTATCGAAATTCCAAAGCCTAGAGAAATATAACAAGACGATCTACAATTTATATGAAGAACACATTTTCAGAAAACAATTACTTAATGTCATAACAGAGGCACCTTACCTCCTTCAAGAAAATGAAAATGATGAGAAGAAATGAAAGAAGTGTTGCTCGGTTCTTCTCCTTCTCTCACTCTCTTGCTTGAACTCGGTTTTTCTCTCTCTTTGCTAATGTTTTCTAAGTATTCAAAGGCTATTCTCAGCTAAGGAATGATACTTAAAGTATCTCATGAATAACCAAGACAAAATGGTAGAAATTATATGCAAATGGTTGTTAAATTTCTCATGTGCACATTAGGTGTTGTCTAGTTGACTTGGGTTGTCTTGCCAAGATTCTCAACAATGTGGAAGCTTAGCTGAACAAAAGGATCTGGTTTAGCATCACATGTGGTAGGGAACAAGATTTGGATCAAGATCATGTGCTCACATGAAGAAATAATATGGCTATGATCATTAATATGCTCTTTGTTTTGGTTATTACCTTATGATGATCACTCAAATATGAATTGTTGGTCACTTTAACTTGTAAAAATAATGTTAAGAGCCAAACTACCATGTCACATTTCTTAATTTCACCTCTCAACAGAGACCATTTAAAAAAAACACTTTTTTTCCCATTTCCATACCCAGAAATCGAAGCTCGGCCAATAAATAATAAAACAAAAAAGATCATACTACCGCCCACCTATGTACAACAGACAGCGACCGATGATTACACTTATGCCCTCTTGATTTTTTTTTCTTCACTCTTGGCGGGCAAATGGGGACGTGCTCACGTCAGTTGTGCTGTAAAACGAGTCCTCCCCTCCGGCTGTATAGTACATATCCTCCTTCTCCTCGTCCCACCTCACGACCTCTCGTATGTATTTGAAGGCCTCGTCCACTGTGGGCCTCTCTCGGGCCTGTGTCTGCCAGACGAAAAGCTTCCGGCCAGTTAAGGAAGCGTAAAGGTCCTTAAACCGCATAGCCACGTAAAAGTAGGCCTGTTGGGCCAGGGACTGTGTGTTGTGGTGGGGCCTGACCGGGCTGAAGTCACTAAACCAATGGCATTTCCCGAGCGGGGCCCAGTTGACTTTTTCCTCGAACAAATCATACTTGTTGAGGACGAGGATAAATGGGGTGTCCTTAAAGCACGGGTGCTTGACCATGGACTCAAAGAAGTCCCTGCTTTGAATCATACGGTTCGTGAGGTGGGGCTCACGGGAAGCGTCTGAAGACACCCACACCTGATCATAATCGCTGAGGGCCACGCAGAAGACGACCACACGAACATCCTCGAACATCTCGACCCACTTGCAACCCTCGTTCATTCCCTTGGCGTTGACTCGGATCAGCTGGTACCTTATTTGTGAAATGAACAATTTTTTTATTTTTATTTTTATTTTAGAACAAACTAAACTAAACCATAATATCCATATCCAATTTCAAGAGTTGAAAATTTTCCTTTGGAGCCGACAATATTTCTTCCTGGCAAGGAAAACTTACTTGCTGAGAGGTGGGGGCCCAGATTCTATATTTTCTGTGTAAGTTTCTAACATTGGGCTTCGATCGTCCAATGAGAACTCCATAAAAGCCAGCCCATTACCTTGAGTCACCCCTTCAGCAAACAGTATATCTTTGTCTGAAGGTTCATACTCGTTGCTCGATATTTCAACTGCCTGTGAGACCCCAAAAAAAAAAAAGATTTGGTAACTGAATCGAATTTGATTTAGCTTTCAAGAAGACCAGATAATATATTATTCGAAGATAACGCAGAAGCAATATCACACAAGCCCTCTCTCTCTCAATTACACTCAAACACTCAGCTTTAAAGTGATGAAGAATATACCCTGCTCAAGAAGTACTCGGTTACGTCTGGAAGAAAGTAGAGTTCATTCTTTCTCTTATAAGTCTCCTGAATAGCAGGATCTTTCCGTACTTCCTCAACAAGCGGGGCATATTCACGTGTTGCTGCTGGGAAAAATGCATCCAAATCCCCAGTGGCAATTATGTCGAGCAGCCAGTCAGAAAAGTGCTTCAATCTTGGGTTGAGAGAATAAATGCAATGGTTATTTACCTCTGCAAAAACTTAAAGAAAGCAAATCACGAAATGAAGTGAAAGCAGTACAAAATGAATTTTTTTTAATAACAGTACTAACAATAGTTACTGAACCATAAAAAATCATGTTTTTGTCATATTTTTCGCTTCATACAGCAATAATACAAAGACCATATTCAAATACCCAAATAGGTAAGAGTTTGAGAAAAGAAAAGAAAAGAAAAAAAGGTAGAAAAGCAAACTCTTATGGCAGCAA